ATATACATATATATATATTGCATGTGAATTTAAGCTTGTATTAATACCTTGAAATGCTTATTTATACAGATTCATCCTTCTTGCACCTTTATATTCTACCATGTTGTTCTTTACTATTTTTCTTTGGACCTTGTAATTACTGTATTTACTTTTTCACTTTATTGGTACTTTATTTTGTACCCTTATTGCATGCTTTAGTATTTCTTATTAATGTTATTTTGATTTTAGCGAGTCGAATCGTTTCTTCTCCTCTTGAACATTTCATTGCATTGTTGACCTTGTGTTAACCTACCTATGACAAATAAACAAAATAACATGCAAACTTCACCCTGAAAGGTCCCTGGCCGGGATTTAATCCCGTGACCTTCTCATTGAGAGGCAACAGCTCTACCAACTGAGGCTGAGTGCCATCTAGTTCCAACTTGATAGCTTGATATATGTTTTTAGGCATATTGTCCATAAACAGGAATGGCTCTCATTTAACGTGTGTGAAGCAATATCACAGAGTTTTCAAAGAGTAATATTATAAGTGCAACGGTTCAAGTGTGGAGCTCACAAACCCACACCCTCACATGGAACTGCCTCAAGTGGAAGTCTCAGTACAGATATTAATGAAACTCACAGAATGTAATCACTGGATGAACATCTACAACTGAGCAGCTTTTCAATTTCAAGATGGCCACCACAGCTACTCATATTGTGCCAACACTAAAATGGTGACAGTGTAGTCAGTTTTAAGGTTAAATTTGATGTGGCAGCTCTGCTAGCTAGTTCTCCATGTTGTCCATGTGGGGTTTGTCAAGTTTCCTCACACAGACCAGAACCCCTCTGTGTTTTGGTCTTTGGAAAATATAAAATTTCCCTACAGATGTGAGTGGTTGTTTGTGTCCCTGTGATGGACAGGAGACCTGTCCATGTGTCTCTGCAATGGACTGGAGCAGTGCTGGCCCAAGCCTCTATCGGGCCCTAAGTGAAATTTAGTTTGGGGCCCTCTATTTCTGCTAATAATGTGGATTACTGCAATCAACAGTCAGATGATCAGATCATTCAACCACCTAACATAAAGTCATTGCAACTCTGACAGCCCTGTTTACATCATCATATATGTATTCTAGTTGTACTAAAAGTAACAAAAGAAAAATATACACCAGTATGCAATGTACTTACAGCAAAGTGTCATCTGGTTTATTATCTTTGGTTCCAAAGAACTGCAACAGTAATGTTCAAAATAATTTGTAGTGCAAGATCAACAACAAACAACAGATAAAATAACTTATGTGAACTTATATGCATAAAAAATAAACTAAGTTGTGCAAAAACAGACAAAATAAAACAACAATAACAAGGAAATACTTAAATGATGTAAATGAACAATTACTTGAGACCATGTACAATGGTTTAAAAAAGAAATTTAAAGTTGAATAATTAGTTCTTAAAACTATGCAAATGTATGCAACAATTTGCAAAAGCTGAAATTAATTAAACAATCTTTACCCACACATTTGACCTGTTTGTGTTACTTCTTGCTCAATACTTCACAAACTTCATAAAACCTGTGCTTCCACTTAGGGGGGCCCCTAGTGGCCCCGGGTCCCTAAGCAGTCGCTTAGTTTATTATGCCTTGGGCCAGCGCAGGACTGGCGATCTGTCCATATGTCCCTGCACTGGAGATCTGTCCATGTGTCCCTGCACTGGAGATCTGTCCATGTGTCCCTGCACTGGACTGGAGATCTGTCC